CCAGGACGTGGCTTTACAGGGCATGTTTTTGGTCCCAGCTCTGCCCCAAAGGTCCCTTTGTTCGGGCTCTCAGCCGCAGCGCAGGCGGTCTCTTGCCGCATGATGCGAAAGGGAACAGAGATTTCTTTGTTGTCCGGGGCCCGGCTGCCCCAACCGGCAGAAATCGAGCCGAAATCAGCAATTCCCATCCCTTTCCCTTTCCGAATTTGGCCACCGCTCAGCCGGTGTGCTCCAGCCTGAATTTACCAGCACCGTGCATGTGTGCTGCTTTGGGCTTGTCATCCTGGTGGCAGAAGAGAAACCTTTCATTTCTCCTTACTAATGCCTTAATAATGCCATCTGAGGTTAAAAACCACAATTTTGGAGGGGGTACCTGCTCAGATGGGTGCTTGCATAGGTGCTCGTTACACGCAGCAAAGTAACCAAGTGCAGGGAGCGGGCATCTCGCTGAGCCCTGGGTGCTTGGGGATCCCTCTGCTTCGAGCTGAGGATGGAAATTTTTATTTATTTTTTTTTGCTAAATGCTACGTTATGCCAAGAAAATCACCCTGAGCTGCTTGCTGGCTGGCACCGGCAGCGCGTGGGGCTGGACTGACATTTTTAACTCTACGCCCCGGCTGGCAGAAAGCAGGCTCAGCACTCTTTCGGGAAATCGTCGTGGGAGCTGGCGTGGAGGAAGTTTTTTTTGCCACAAAGACCCTTTTTCGGGCAGGATGGGGCTGGGTGTGGGCTGTGCTGGTGTTGCCCAGCTCGGTGACCGGCCACCCTCATCAGCAGGTTTTGCTTTTCCCTTCCGGAGCCTAAGCCCAAAGAACAGGATCATTGTGGCAGCAGGGAGTGAGCAGCAAAAAGGAAAAAAAAAAAAAAAAAAAAAATCAATAAAAATCACCTTTTTTCCCCCTTTCAGGCCAGGTGTGCTGAAAGTCAGAGATGAAGGGTCAAGTATCCTGCTTCAGATACTTCAGACTATTATATTTGGAAGAAGCAATGAGGTCTAGAATAATTCCAATAGCTGCTGAGATTTAATGGGCTTTCAAGCAAGTTTTGGCAGATGCAAGTTAAAACATAAACTCTCCGCAGATTTGCCATAATGCCATTTTTCAGCTGTCAGCGTTGCCACAGGGCATCTCTAAATATTTATAGCATGGCTGGTTATCACATAGTTGGGTAGTTTAGCACGTATAGTTTTTATGGACAACATTGTCAATTTATTTTAAAAGCCCTTTCATTCTATGACTTTATTTTCCATGTCTTTAGAGCCTAAATATTTAAGGAAGTGGGTAAAAGGGTTAAGCAAGGGATGAAATGGAAGGTGCAGTGAAAGAAAGGGGGAAGGATGGTGGGGGCGGTCGAGGGGCGGGAGGTGGAGGAAGTTTTGGGTATGGATGGGGGAGCCTGGGCACATCCTGTAGGATCCAGCCAGACTTTTTGTCCCATTGGGGAAAACTCAGGCAGCGCCTGCGCTCCGAAGCTTAAATGGGATGGGGAAGAGACAACAGGGGCAACTTCTGCCCTCCGTGGGATTTGCATTGGAGTATTTTATATCGTCTTTAATGCCTGCAGCATCTTTACGGTGCACTGTGCAGCTCCTCCCCTTCTGCCTCCTGCTTCTTCTTGCTGCTCATCCATATGCAGTCTCCCCCGGGCTGCTTTCTGGAAAGGAGGAAATCGGAGCAGGCTTGGTGATTTTTTTATTATTTTTTTTTTCTAGAGCAGCCGCTCCTTGGCACAGAGAAGGGAAAAATGCAGCACTTGCCGTGCAATAAATACATCAGTTCTGTGGAGAACCTGGTGAATGTTGTGGAAAGAAGGCTCCGAACAGCAGAATCAGCAAGTTTTCTGCACTCAGAAATTTTCCGCTCGGCATCGCTGTAGTGGAGAGGGAATTTTGGGAGGTAGCTGTTAGCTCTTGTGTCAGACGATTATTGCACAGTATCTCAGGCTGTGTGCGTGTTCCTGGGAGAACACTGCCATTGGAAAAGCCAAATTTTCTTATCTTTGTCTTGTCTCTTTTTTTCCTTTTTTTTTTTTTTTTTTTTTTATTGGGTAATGCCTGCTTGATTTATCTTTTCCTTTACCGTATGCTCTCTACAACTAGCTGAAAAGATGTTGTGAGGTGGTGGGGGTTGGTCTCTTCTCCCAAGTAACAAGCAACAGGACAAGAGGCAATGGCCTCAAGTTGTGCCAGAGGGGGTTTAGAAAGGATATTAGGAAAAATTTCTTCACCGAAAGAGTTGTCAAGCACTGGAACAGGCTGCCCAGGGAAGTGGTTGAGTCACCATCCCTGGTGGTATTTAAATGATGCGTAGATGTGGTGTTTAGGGTTTCCTTTACCGTATGCTCTCTACAACTAGCTGAAAAGATGTTGTGAGGTGGTGGGGGTTGGTCTCTTCTCCCAAGTAACAAGCAACAGGACAAGAGGCAATGGCCTCAAGTTGTGCCAGAGGGGGTTTAGAAAGGATATTAGGAAAAATTTCTTCACCGAAAGAGTTGTCAAGCACTGGAACAGGCTGCCCAGGGAAGTGGTTGAGTCACCATCCCTGGTGGTATTTAAATGATGCGTAGATGTGGTGTTTAGGGGCCTGGTTTAGTGGTGGACTTGGCAGTGTTAGGTTTATGGTTGGACTCGATGATCTTAAAGGTATTTTCCAACCTAAATGATTCTTTGATTCTATGTTTCTTTCAATGAATAGCTCACCTTGACCTTGTTGCCAAGAGGGCTGATGGAATCCTGGGCTGTGTAGGAAGAGTGTGAGGGAGGTCGTTCTCCCCCTCTGCTCTGCCCTGGTGAGGCCACAACTGGAATCCTGCATCCGGTTCTGGGCTCCCCAGTTCAAGAGAGACAGGGAACTGCTGGAGAGAGTGCAGTGTAGGGCAACAAAGATGATGGAGGGATTGGAGCATCTCCCTGATGAGGAAAGGCTGAGAGAGCTGAGAAGGCTGAGGGGAGACCTTATTCATGCTTACAAGTATCTAAAGGGTGGATTGAAGGATGATGGAGCAGGACTCTTTTCAGTGGTTCCCAGTGACAGGACGAGGGCCAACGGGCACAAGCTGGAACATGGGAAGTTCCACTCAAATATGAGGAAGAACTTCTTTGGGGTGAGGGTGGCAGAGCCCTGGCAGAGGCTGCCCAGGGAGGGTGTGGAGTCCCCTTCTCTGGAGATCTTCAAGACCCACCTGGATGCAGCCCTGAGTGATGTGCTCTGGGCAACCCTGCTTTGGCAGGGCAGTTGGACTGGATGGTCTCTAGAGGTCCCTTCCAACTCTGACAATTCTGTGATTCCATGAACTGAGATAAATCTGCTCGGTTCAAAAAGAACCACCAAGTTGTGCTCACGTGGTGCCAGGCTGCGTGCTGGGGGTCAGGGAGGGAAGGGCCCACAGCCAAGCACTTCACACACTTCAGTTCAGGTCGGATTTGGACAAAACAGAGAAACTAATGACTCTCTGCAGCCTTCTCTCCAGCCTTGTGTGGCTTTGGGCTGTGACTCCAAGCGCAGCGGGGCTTGGAGCAGGGCTGGGAGGGCTTTGGGCCGGCTGGTTGGATGCAGGCAGGTGGCTGCTCTGAGGAAATGGAGTTGTCTTCTCTTCAGCAGTGGTGTGTGTGCTATTGTGAAGGGCTCCTCAGTGTTTTTAGCCCTGTTGTGTGTAAAACTGATGGCCACAGGAAGAAATTGCTAACCACCCTGGGGCTGCCAGCCTGGTGCCTCCCGGGGCGGGGAGGTACTTTTCAGCGCTGTCGTTAAGGACCTTGGGTTTCTTCCCAACTTTCCCCAGACCTTTCCAATTACTCTGGAGCTTGCAGGGCCCCGAAGGAAGTGAGGTTTTTGTTAACCGTGGCATGACTAGATCTCCAGCAAAATGATGTTGTCCATCTTCCTGGGCAAGCGGGAGTGAGATGTGACCAAAGGCCCCAGGGAGCTTAAGAGCGGGGGTGAATGGGACTGAGCCGCAGTGGCAGGAGAGTCCTGGAGGTGAAGTTACATCCATGGCACCAGAGAGGAAAGCATATATTGGATTTGTCCTTCACGCTGCCCTTTTTGGGTAGACAAACCCATGTTTATTTATTGAAACATGCATTAAAGTTGCTCATTTAGAGGTAGCTGAAGGGTCATGCTGCTTTAAAACCCTGTCTGTTGCAATCACAGGGTGATGCCTGAAGTAAGTCAACGGGCTTGATGTGGTGTTCTCCTTGGACAAGGAACTTTCTCTCCCCAGCCACAATTAGTGGTTTTGAGCAGCCTCACTGTTTCTCCCTGCAAGATGGAGGGAGCAGGTCCTGCTAGTGAATGCTGTCAAGGTTGTGAAACTCGGTTGTCACCTCTTACTCATCGAAATAGTTTTAGGTGGAGATGTGAGATTGGAGAGGCCCTAAGTGAGCACACAACAGCCTTTGTGAACCTGCAGTGCTAAGGTCTTCTCCCTGTGGTCCCTCCCCACCGCCACCACCATGCATCTGCCCAGTTGCTGCCATTCCCAGCCCTGATCAGGCAGGTCTGTGCCTGGAGGGTTCCACCAGCTTCCTTGTGAGGTTCAAGTCCTCACCCTGGGCTGTCTGCCTCTCTTGGGTTTTGGGTTGGAGCCTCACATCGGGACGGGTGCTGGTGGAAATGTGCTTGACTGTGGCAGCAAGAAACTGAACTGAACTGCCGAGCCCAGGCATCTTCTCGCTCCTCTGGAGCTCCAGAGCTGACCCTGGTCTTCAGGTGATGGTGGTGGCAGGAAAGCCTGTGTGTGGGGAGCAGCTTGGACTTGCACTTGGGATGGCTTAGAGGCAGAAGGCTTTCACTGTGAAGGTCTGATGACCATCTCACCACCATTAACAGCATCTCTCAGAGTGGGTGATGCTGATGTCACCTACATCTTGGGGCTAGAATGAACCACCAGTTCCTAAAATGCCAAGCCACCATGCTGAATTACAGGTGTGGTCACCCAACCAGTGACCCCAGCCACCCCTCCAGGTCCCGCTTCTGACCTCTGTCTCCTCTCTCTTCCAGGCACCTGCGTGAAGTGCAGCAAGGGGGTGTATGGAGCAAACCAGGCATGCCAGGCCATGGGCAACCTCTACCACGATGGCTGCTTCACCTGTGGAGCCTGCAGTGAGTACCCCCTGCTCTGCCGCCGGGGCAGGACCCTGGGGCAAACGCTTCAGGATTATCTTTTCTTCTGGTTTAAAAGGGGAAAAAATAGAGGTGGTTTTTGAATTGCCTGCCAGCTGGAGTCTGCTGCAGCTGTGTGTCTTGGTGGTGGTGGTGGTTGCTGTTTGGTTTTGGACAGATTCTTGCAAGGCAGGTAGAAAAGATCGTTCGGATTGTGCCGGCCATCTACTTTCTAGTGTGGGGGGTGGTTGTTTTCATTCCTCTGCCTTTCCGTTACAGCTATGGGTTTGTTTTTTTTACTTATAAGAGCATTTTTTTTTTCCAAGTGGCAGTGAATATGTCTTATGTGGCTTTTAGGGTTTTTTTTATTTGTCATGTCAGACTTCGCAGACCCCGGGGGGAGCTGCCGGGTGGGTGTTGTGCCGAGGGTGCAGGCGAGTACGGGCAGTGATTTCTGCCAGCCCCGGGGACACCTTTTCAGACGGAGCTGCTCCGTGGTCATTCTGGTGATGGTGTTACCTTTTCTCTCTGTAATAATTTTGCCCTTCTTGAGGGAGCTCCGGTCAAAGCATCTAAGTGCATGAATGACCCAGGTTACGCATCTGGCTTGTTCTTCCTCCTGTTATTGTGCCAGAGGTGTTGGGTTGGGAGCAGCGATGGCGAGCCGTGTGGAATCCGCCTGGGAAGCGGGGTAGATGTTTCAGCTGGCCCCACTGAGCCCCACACCTCTTGTCAGCCCCACATCTGAAGCTTGCTGGAGTGTATAGTGTGCCACAATGTACGGATGCTCCTAAGCAGCTTTTTGAGGAGGTCTGTGATGGAGCTGGAGTAAGGAACTGACCGCTTCATTTCACATCATGGCTGTGTTTGTAAGACAGTGGGGTTTTTTTCTATTTTGTTATGTTTAACCCTAGGATATTTTTAGAAATGAAGTTGTATATGTGGCGGCAGAAAAAATAATAATAATCATCCTTCTAGTGCTTTTGTATATATCAGTTTGGTTTTCCCAGATGAGTCTTAGTGTTTTTCTCCTGTGTTGTATTTAGAGTTGTAAACTCATCAGGACTGCATGTGTTTTATTTGGAGCTGTAAAGTGGGAATAAATATAGAAGGATGTGTGTGCTTTTTAATAATAGCTGAACCTTGAACTCTGCTCGTTTCCCAGCTGTCCAACACCAGCTGCCTTGCCTCACCTATGTTTTCAGTAGAGCACTTCACCATCATCTGACCAAAGGCAGGCAAAATGGAAAGCAAAAGTGTTGTTTGCTCGTGGTGGTAGTTTCCTAAAGGCTCAGAAGTCGGCAGCTCACTCTTTTGTCCTCTCTTATAAATTAATTTATTCTCCTGTGGAGAGGATTCCAGGGCTTTGCTTCAGGAACCTCTCACCCTCCGTGGCCGGGCAGCCTCCAAACTGCCCTTGCACACAAAGCTCCTGTTAAAAATAATCCAGCAGCAGGGTCGAGCTGTCTTAAATTTCTAAAATTACTACTGTGCAACTGCTGCTTTAGAAAGAAACACTTTTGATCCTCCCTTTAGAATGGATTTTACCATCTTTATTTGAAGACCTGTGCTAGAGAGGTACTTGTGGCTACTGTGGTAGCAGTGGTTACTCACATTTATGTTTGTTAGTGTCTGGTTAAAAATTAGCTTAGTCCCATTTCTAAGAAGTTGGGTTGGTGAGAGCTGAAAGAATAGCTATTTGCTGCTCGTTCTAAAAGGCAACCCTTTCCAAAGGTTTCCAACGCAAGACGGAAAGGTTTGGGTGCCAGGTGAGACTTAGAAAGATGGAAAAAAAAAAAAAGAAAGTAAGTTTAGCAAAATGAAGCTCATTTTCTCTCTTACCTGGGCTGCTACTGAGGAATCTCTTTGGAGATGTGCTGGAGAGAACCATTTCAAATGGAAAGTAAGAGAAAAGCTAATAAAAAAAAAAAAAAAAAGGATAGAGAAAGGAGGAGAGTAATAATAATATTTCTCTGAGTAGGAAATGCTGTATTTCCATATGAGATAAAAAAGAGTAGACGTGAGAGCCTGTTTTGGATTGTTACGTGCAGCAGAGTAATTAATTACTCATGAAAGCTCAAGTCCCTCCCATTGGGGCAACGACCGTACTAAGATGGGAGCTGGATGCAGCGGTGGCTGGCATGGATGGATGGAGGGGAGGCATGGATGGATGGAGAGGAGGCATGGATGGATAGACAGGAGGTGCAGAGGGATGGAGAGGAGGCATGGATGGATGGAGAGGAGGTGCAGAGGGATGGAGAGGAGGCTGTGTGGTGGTGTGGGACTTCTGGTACTCGAAGGAGAGCAATGCCCGAGGGAGGCCTCCACAGTAGTGGTGTTTCCCTTACCTGTATGTACTTCTACAAGTGGCAAGGCTCAGGAGAAACCCTCCAGTGCAGGGGGTGGTTTCCTGTGCTGTCACTGCGGTCTGCAGGACCCTTTGTGTAGGAGTTGTTTGCTCCAGGGGGCTCGGGAGGCTGGGGGAGGGCGTTAGTATTTCCCATCCTCCCAGCAGCCTGCTTTGGCTCGCTGTGCTGGGCTGACTTTATGATTCATCCAAGCCTCTTTGCATTGTGGCTGCTTAACTGAGGGCTGGGGTGGTACGTGCTGTCCTGCCCCACGCTCAGGGAGGAAATGTACCCCAGGGGAATCCCCCCCACCTTTCGCAGACCCACGGTAATTTCCCGGTCCCCCAGCCCATCGGCCACAAGAGGAGTGAAGGGCACACACAGCCCTGTCCTCACCCCAAGGGAGCACATGCCTCTCTGCAGGCTTGCTGTCCTTCTGTGTCGCTGGGGTAAATATGAGGAGACCATTTTTTATCTGCCAGAAAAATAAATATTTGTCCGGCCGGTCTCATCTGCCCCGCTGCAAAGCACGTCGTGAGCAGCCTCTGTGGAAGCTCTGGTTTTCCAGCTAAAAAGTAAGTAGTGCTGTTAAGGTCAAGTGGAGTTCGTCTTGGACACCATCCAGTACAGTCTTGTCTTTGAGAAGTCAAGGTTGCTCGTGATTTCAATCCTAAGATTTCTGCTCTGGTGGAACGCTGAGTATCTCCGCTCCAATAAATAAAATATACAAAATTACCTATTAAGGTAAAGCATATTGTCCTCCAGATATTTATATCTGCTGTCCTGCTGTTTTCATTTTAGTGAGGATTTCTAATTTTGCTTGTAGTTGGATTTGTGTCCAAATGTGCATTAGTTTCCCAGAAGCAGGAAAGCGAGAGGGTCTGAGGAGGGGAGGGGGGCTGATACCTCGTGGTGCCGAATTTCCTACGCTCTGTGTCTCCTGATACACATATGTTCAGAGATAAACCATCGAGCAATCTGTTGAGCAGAGCTATGCATTACGTTACAGGGTTCGGTTGTCAGGAAAAAAATGTACTGTTTTATCTGAGCCAGTGGCATGTAATGCAGAATATTTGGCTTAGAGGTCAAAACAACAGATTTAGAATGATTGCTTTGGCATAAATGTCTCATTTATCTTCTTGTTTGTCATAGGGCAGAGACACAAACAAGGCAGCTTTTTTGCAGAGAAGGAGAGGAAAGAACTTGGGGCTCTTTCTTGCAGGATTAGTAATAAATTGTATTTGCTTTACAGGGGGGCCACAAAAGTAGGTTAAAAAAAAAAAAAGTCCTCGAAGCTCATATGGCTATTTCCTGCGAGCTCAAGGTGTCTGTTTCCGCCTTAGGTTTTGGTTTTTGTTTTTTCAGTTTGTAGGGCAAACAGTTGTAGTTATCAAACTGTCTGTTACACATTAACCATTTAAGTTGAATCACCTGTTTATGGTTCCTCAGAACACAGGTGTTTCCAGGTGCTGATATTTATTGTTTAGGTAGTAAGGAGACCTTATAAATGATACAGATTTAACTAGAAAGTATCGCTCTAACTTATTGTGGTGTTTTAGTGTATTTTCTCCAGGATTCAGCCAGGCTGATATCCGAGTGCCGCAGCTGGCCTGGAAAACAGACTTTTTTAGCTCTGCTGGCAGCGTAATTTAGAGCAGAAGGGTCTTGTACTTGAGCCCCTGGGTCCTCAGAGGAAATCTGAAAGCTAAAAAAGTGCAAGGGAAGTGTCAGAGATGACTGTGAAGGAAATCAGTAGGCGAGGAAGGAAGTCAGAAAGAAAGAACTGATTGCAAGGTGGTTGTGAGGAGGGTTTGATCTTGAACTGAAGCAGAAGGTCCAAAGGGAGGACCAGATTCTGACCGCTTGTTACAAAGAGGTGGAAACTTTGCATGTTTGCCAGATTACAGAATTCGACCTTTGGCATGTCAGCATTACTACATTACTTTCTTTTTCTTTTTTTTTTTGATTGTAAACTCAGATTAATGTTGATGTCTGTGTAAGGGTAACAGCCTGCTGTTCCAGTGGCAGAGTTTGAAATAACATGAGCTGGCTGTCTCTTGCCGCCCTCTGGGGATATTTGTGGTGTTTTTAATATTTCACAATGTAGTTGTGTTTAGAGGTATCAAGGGTCATTTACTAAACAAGATAGCTAAGGTATTGAAGCAGTGTATCTGTGAGCTTAGCCCTGTGCTTGGGCTAATTAGTCTTGCTGCAGTGATTGTACAGCATGGCTGTACGGATAGTTACATTGAATAAGCATTCCCTATATTGGTATGTCACCTCTGGAAAAACAAGACCATGTTTTTCATTGGTATCACTAAATAACTCCAGGAGTATAAGATCACCTTTTTCTGCAAGTGCAATCTTAATAACGTTGCAGGAGAGACAGCCTCACCAAGTGAATTTTCCCACAGCACATGTATGATTTACCTTCAGATGAAGAAACTACCAGCTCTTCTAGTAGAGGCAGAATTTACTGCTTGTAATTGGGTATAAAACCAATTATATAGACTGATCAACACGCATGAGAAATTTGCAGGTCTTCAGAGTGGGGAATACAAAGTACTGCAGGCAATCCCTCCTCAGCATCCCTTTAATAAAATTATCATGCAACAGTCCACGTAGTAAACAATATATTTATTTAGAAAATGT